ATTCTATGATTCTACAAAATTAATTGTTGGAGTTTGTGCTAAGAATGAGGAGCTGCAAGTTAAAGTTACCTCTTCTTCATCCAGCGTTCTTACACTCCCAATCTCTTTTTTTCTTCTAGTTTCTTCTCTGAATTAAGCATCCCTCATTACTTAATCCCTTTTGTTGTCCCTCATGGCTCCCAAAGAGGTCAACTTTTGCAGTGGGTTCTGATGTTTTCCTTTTTAGATTTTTTTTTCTTAAAAGCATTATAGAGTTCTGTGACTTGTGATTTCCAATGAGTGCCATTCGATCATTTAATTCTTCACGATTGCTGTAGTGGATGCCAAAGGCATTTGCAGTAATTGGATGGCACTTAAGGGATTAGTGAACATCCAAACCGCAGATGGTTTTTTGTACTGCTTCCATGGAAGTCTTGCTTTGTCTGCTTCTAAATTTATTTGCAATCTGAGTTTTGAATAAAATCCTCTGTACAAAAGCCTTGTTGATGGTGTGGCTGTGGTGTGTCGCCTCGCCCTGACTGTAATGCACTCTGCAGTGGCACTGTTATGCCATCTCCCTGAATGAGAAGATTTGCAAATGACTCATTTGGAGTCATTAACGTCATACCCCAGCCAGGCTCCCGCGGCAGCAGACATGGTGAGATCTGCTGGTGTGTCTTTGCCTCGTTCTCCTGGGGAGAGGCAACTGAATGCTGTTGGGACCCAGGAAAGCACAAATAGACGTTTGTCCTCTACCCACGGATGGGTGCTGATCTTCCCTTCTCTCTGCTCCAGCCATCTTAGCTCTCAGCCCTGGCCTGTCTCCAGACCATTCCAGGTGGGGAGATTAGCTCCCTGCAGGTCAGCTTCACCTGACAGATTTCAGCTATTTTGCTGGAATATAGCCAAGGAATAGGAAGGTGACTGGCAAGAACTGATGCACCTGAGATAGCTTTTTAATTGTGTCCTTGCAGGGGAGGGCAGGATACAATTTGAAATGCTATTTTAACCAGGAGTGATAGCAGCTGCTTATGTCTTACATGCCAGGAAGATTGACGAGCCTTGGTTTGGTTCTCCTTCCCTCATCGTGGCCAGCTGGCAGGTTTGTGTGTTGAACTCTGTGAGTGGTTTGGTAGTTCGTGGGGGTCAGTAAAGTGGAAGTCTGTTCTTAAAGCTTATCAGAGAAACACCATAAGTAATTCTTCATTTAGTGCTACGTGCTGATGTAAGATCAGGTATGAGCAATGAAGTGCTTTGCCTGAGAGCCTGTTGGGGCAGGTTTATTTGGAAGTTGATTGGATTACAACCTCACAAGAGAAATTTTCTGTCCCTTGTAACAGAATAGATGAGCTGGAATGGAGAAATGGAATGGGAAACTGAGCAGAGCAATTTTCCTTGCAGGTGGCAAATGTGTTTCTTTATTCTTGCAACCAAATTTATCATTTTCTGAATGCAGTTTGTTTCCTGTGTGAAGGTGTGAACGTGCTGTGGTTTGAGAGAACTTCCTTTCTCAACCTGTTAAACTCTTCCCCTTGTTTTTCTTTGGTGTTGTTCTAAAGGTGTGTTTACTATGAGAAAGAAAAATAAAATGCTCATGAAGAGAGCTGACCTGGCCATTTCCACTGTTCATTTCCTTTCTAAAATAGTTTATCTGTTTACATCCTGTGCTCTTTGTCTCCTTTCTATTTTCAGTATCTGCTCTGGCACCTATCTGCATGATGCATTTGCTGTGGGAGCATTTCCAGTGCTTCAGAAATGGCTTAGTGTTCTGTGAGTCAGCTGTCCTGCCTTTGGGAGATGATGTTTTCTGCTGCACTCAGTAGCTCAGTAAAGAGAGGAGTGGGGGTCACTGAGAGCAGCTATGTCTGGAGGGCCATCGTTTGGAATTGGAAGTGAACAAGGGCCTAAAATGGGCACTTCCAGCATCAGATTCCACTTGATTCATTGCACTGGCCAAGGTTGTCTGCCATTGCTCAGTGTCTTCTGGGTGTGACTTAGAGGTAACATTACACCAGGATACTGGTCTGAACATAAAATATTTCTATCTTACTATGCCTGAAAGAGACAGGTGCAACCTTGTTATGTTCTGAATGCCTTTAGGTCAGGACAGGGATCAGAGGTTAATTTCCTCAGTCCCTGTATTTGGCTCATGGCTGGACATGGCTCAGCTCCGGGATGGATTAACACCAGGGAGCTACTGACAGCTGGAGAGATGTGCAGAAGGGTCTGGGCAGAAAAGAGATGTGCATCTTGTGACTACCTGTGAATAATGAGAATGCAATTACTGTGTGCTGTACAAGTAGTTATGTGTAGGTGTAATGTGTCAGGAATAAAAAGAGGAAGAGAGTTTCAGTATGGGAGGAGAAATCTTCCCTGTGAGAATTTCTAGACTGACTAAATGGCCTGCTGGGGAAGGAACAGAACTGCAGGTTTACATGGGAAATTCAAAGTGTTGGACTTGAGAAGGGAGATATCTTGCAGAAGAGGGACAGCCTGAGTCCCTTGAGAAGGACAAACTACATTTTTGCCTTTAAGTGATGGTTAGATTTTAAGTTATTTTCTTCCTCCCACGTAAATGAGACTCTAACATTTGAAAAGTGCACAGGCTCTGAGAAACGCACCAGTAGTCTTGCTTTCCAAGCAAGAAAAAAATAAGGATATGAAAGCTAAAAGATGATGAGAACGATACCTGCAAAAGCATGCGAGCAGCACTGCTGTCAGCATTAATTTTGCCTGTGTGGAGTGATATTCAGGATGTTCTGAGGTATGCTTGATTCAAAATGAAACTTTGTGTTCAAAAACAGCACTTGCAGCAGTGCTTCTGTTTCATGGCTCCAAAAAAACCCCCAACAATCCACAAGAACAGATGGGGTTGGTGGTAGATGGTCATTATGGTCCCTGCCAACCCAAGCTGTTCCATTAGCTTCACATCCATTTTTTAATTTGTGATTGGATCTGGTTGATGTCTTCAGCTTCACATCTTCACAGCTATAACAGGAAAACCTCTCTCTCAAAGCAGCGTTCTTTTCCTAACCTGTGTAAATCCTTTCTCAGATTAACTGACCTGGAAAGTAATTGCAAAAAATTTACTGTCTGTGTCACAGAGTAAAACCAGGCCAGGAGGCAACACACTGCTTAACTCTTAGCAAGTTTTGTAGTCTGATCGTAGCCTGTGCTGTCACACAGGCAGATAAGGAGGTGACTCTGGGGAAAAGGAGGATGGACAGAGGGATTTCTGGACAGTGCTGTATGGGCTGCCTTGTTTTCACTGGTGCTTTGCTATGAACTTGCTTGCTTCTAGTGCAATAGGAGCAATGCTGGAGGCAGTTATGAGTGAACAGGACGCGTATCACAAAGACATGGGATGTATTTGATATCTGCTCCAGCTGAAGAATCAGGACGAGCAGATGGTGTTTATGTGGGACTGTGCCCGTGCTCAGAGGCACTGCTCAGCTGTCACCCAGCAGGTGATACCTGAAGAAGTGTTTGAACTCAGAGCAGAAGAGCAGGTCAGGTTCCTTTAGGATGCTCCTGCCTCCCAGCACCACGACTCATCACTTGGCTTTGGGCTCCAGGCAGCAGTGGGGCAGATAGGCTGAGCATGCATTTCTTACTTGTTTGCCTCGAGGAGAGCTGTGCTGTGAAACCCTTTGTTTGTGGGGCTGGAAGCAGGGAGTGCAGCAGCTGCTGGGTTAAAGAGCTCCCCAGCAGATTTCTGTTCCAGTTTTGCAATTGCTGGACAAAGAGTTATTTCACTTTGTATTAGAAACTCTAGGGATGTCTCTGGGATAAGGGACAAAATGAGGTTTTCTGAGGATATGGGGAGGAGGAATGTGTGCTAAAGCAGCCTTGGTAACGTGGCAGTGCTCTGCATATGCAGCATGTGACTGTGACCTGCTCGCTGGTCCTGTGTTCAGGTGTGCATCACAGGTGTGTACTGAGTAATCAAGAGCATTTCTGGTTCTGACAGAGCCCTGTGAGCCAAACGTGTGCTCAGGTGTGAGCTAATTACGTGCTCCTGCCTGAATGCAGAAAACCCTGCAATTCATGCCCACTGCAACATCTCACGTCTCTGGTAAATGTTTTCTAACAGATTCAGCATATGGACAGACTCATTTCTAAAAAAACCTGGTGGGCATCCCCCACTGGTGCACATGAATGGGATCCTCCTTGCAAAGGGCACACTGGTTCACGTCTCAGCTTGCTGCTGGAGCTTCTCCTGGTGTGGAAGGACACATCTTTTGGCTGTGCTGCTGGGAGATCCTGTCTTACTTCATTTCTTACCTCAGAGCTCACTCTGTTCTCTCCTTAGCCAGGGGACAGTGTCCTCCATCCTTGTAATGGCCATTCAGTAATGGCTATTTTATGTCCTTGCAGACACAGGTGTCTCTGTTACACCAGGACTCATCTCTGTGCTACCAGGTAGTAAACAGCTCTCAGCTCAGTGGGGTTAAATCTGCTCCTCTCCCTTCGGTACTGCACCAGGTGGCATGTCCTGCATCTAAATCCACTTGGCTTAGCACTCACTGTGCATTTGGATGACTGTGAATGATCTCTTAACTGCATCCACACACAGAATTTAGTTTCTAGTTTAAATTGCTTTCTTTTGGCAGGATGGTGGAGTGGCTAGGTGGGCATTTTGACTGGTAAGGGGTCAAGTTCTTGTCACTCATGTGAACGCTGAAGTAATTACAAATTTAAACTGCTGTTTTGCCATCATGCGAAGGCTGAGTGCAGGCTGTAATACTTAGCAGTGAGACACTATGGCTCTGCAACACGGTTTTGTGCTATAACGTGTTTCATTATAAACGTTTGGTGACTGGGGGAGAGAGAATGAAGAGAGAGGAGCTGAACTGAGGTGGGGGCTTCCCCAGAGAATGACAAGTCTGGAAAGCAGCAAAGCAAGGATGTGGTGTTATTGCAGCTGCCGGCTCCCAGCCTGAATACTGCTGCTGGCAAGCAGCTGACAGGAGGGAGGAGATCAGCCTTTCACTCTGAAGGGTTGGTGCGTCAGGTTTCCCTGCAGAGCACGTGCAGATAACCGAGCTGCAATCACTGCTCTCTGCTCCAGCTCCAGTAGAGAGAGCTGGGAGAATGGGGCAGGTGTCTTGGAAGGGTTTGTTTCTATCGCTTTTTGATTATAAAACAGAGAAATACGTCATTGCTAAAAACAAGAAGGTTGGGATTCTCTATCGAGTGGTGCAGCTCTCCATCCTGGCTTACCTGGTGGGGTAAGGATCACCCTCTATTAAACGTACTGCTGTGGTTGCATTTGCTTGCTGTGTTGTGATGAAGATTAATGTAAGATACTTCAGCTTACATTACAGGGATTGCTTGCTATGGTGCATGACTTTAATACAGATAACTGTGTTTATTTATAACGCTGGGATTTTGTAATACCTAATAAACTCTTATCTGATTTTTCACTGGCTGGAGATTGCTGGATTCATCTCTACCTTCCAGATTAATGTGTGATTAAAAGTGGATCAAATGCCACCATGGCTCTATACTGCATTATTTACTCCTTTATTTCTGTATTTGGTAGGAAAGGTGCCAAGCCTTAACAATTGACTCATTAGAGACAATGGCATGCAGGGCCAAGGTTGCTGAGCCATGAGACAAACCAAGCTCGTCTGCATGAAATGTTTGAGTCTGAACGAGAGGGAACCAAGCAGAAAGTGACAGATGTATCTGCTGGAGTGAGCTGCAGCTGCTGGGATTGTGCAGGATGCAGCAGCCTGCATGTCAGCTGCCTTGCATTTATTTCTGAGCACGGTTGGCATGGAGATGGGCAGAGCACCTCTCAGAAGAGGTTCTGGAGGCAGTCACTGGTGTAAAACAAACATGGCCGTACTCCTTGCTGCATGCAGGCTGAGATGGGGGGTCATCCAGCCTGTGTGATGGGCCTTTGCTTCTTGAGTTTCTGAGGCTTTCTAGAATGTGTCTGATAAGTCTTTTCCCTCCCTCTCTGAGCTGTGGGATCCTCTCACTTTTCTTTTGCCTCATGCTTTCACCGATTTAAATATAGTAGAGTTACTTTGGCGTTCTGGATTTATTTATAGAAAGGTGTACGGTTTCAGAGCTTCAGTTAGTGGGACAGTGATGCAGTCTCAATGCTCTGGTATGTATTAGCTGCTAAAGGAGGAGTTCTGTAGATAATGTTTCTGAGACCACATCCTGCATCCAAGAGGGACAGTGCAGAGCAGCAACCGTGAATGTCTAGAGAACTTCTGGGCCAAACTGACAGTTTGCATTCATGGACATCAGCAGAGCTTAGGCACTGCCTGCAGCACAGTGCCTGCAGTGCCTCCTCTGTGGCTGGGGACGTACAGCTGGTCATGGAAGTGGTTGGCATTAGCCTGGTGCTGCCTGGCTGTGTACGGCTCCCTGTTCAGAGGCTGTCCAGCCTGCGATCATCAAACTCCTCTGGATTGTTCCTTCTGTATAGCTCCCTTCCCTCACAGATTCACTGAGGAAAACTTAAGACTCTGCTTTTGAGCCCTTCTTGGGGAGAAAATGCAGCGTTCTTGGGAAAATAGGGAAGTGGGACAGTTCATAGGAGTGGAGAATGTTATTGCTCAGGTCTGGCACAAGGGGAAGAGCAGTGTGTGTGAATGCTGCTCAGCTCCTGAGATGGCTGCCTTTGCTCTCTGTATGCCTTAGTGCAGTCTAGCTCTGTGAAGGGGAGCTGTGCCAGCAAATGCAGCCTGTGTCCCTCTCCCAAACTCTTCCTCCAGAGCTGTAGGTGAGTGCAGCCTGTATCAAGCAGTTCATTCCGAATTTAGGAGTCCTCCAATAGTAACGGAGGCTTTGATGTCATTCACATGTTTTGATTTGTCCTTAAAGGTTCCTTGGCCTTGGTGTAAATCTCTGGCTAGACTGTTCCCCGATTCCACTCACTAACATTGCTGCCTGCTCTGCTCTTCCCAGGTGGGTGTTTGTTGTCAAGAAAGGCTATCAGGATACGGACACATCCCTGCAGAGCTCTGTCATCACCAAGCTGAAAGGGGTGGCATTCACCAACACCTCGGAGCTGGGGGAGAGGCTGTGGGATGTTGCAGACTACGTCATCCCTCCACAGGTGGGAATCATGCTGCTCCTGTTGTGTCGGCCATTCAGGTAGAAGCGCATGTTCCAATCTGGCTGCTGGTGGAAAGGCTACAGTGATGTATCCAGGTCTTCCTGTGAGAAACCTATAGGTGGGCTACAAGATAGCAGTGTTGTGCCTCCTCTTACGTCTTTTCAGCAAATGTATATAGGAGCCTTTCTTTCTTACAAAGGATAATATTTGATAAACAGAGCCCTTCAGCAGCAGTCTGGTGGATTTCAGTGGGACTGCTCAGCTGAACCTCCTTTAGAAGGCTGGAGCAGGCATGCATGGGGCAGCCCAGGGGAGGGAGACGATGAAATAAATGTGTTGCAATTTGAGTGACGAGACTTGCTTGAAATGGATCTGTCTAAACTTGCCTTGCTGCTTCCTTGGCTTAGACAAAGTGAGAAGCAGAGTTGATGCTTTAAGGGGAAGATGCTAGCAGATGGGCCTGCTACTGTGATGGCAAGCTGTGCTTGCTAGGGGCTGTTTGTTTGTGTGCTTCCCTGTTAGCAGCTGGCACGTGTGCATGAAGGGACATGAGAGTTAATTCAGGGTTCTGGGCTGAAGACTGCAAACTGAACAATTTGTACGTAAGACTTCACCCTCATTCTGCAGTTCGCTCAGATCTGTGGGTTTGTGTGCTGCATCTCCACCACTTTTGCTGCAAAGCTCACTGTCAGCTGTCGATCTCCAAGCAACGTGGGCTGTGCAGCAGGAAGGCCAGGCAGCAGGCTTGTGCTGAAGCTGTGTGGGAGCCGTGGGATCTTTCGCAGGTGGCTGGTTGTGCATACTCAAAAATGAAATGGTGATGCTGATCGGTATTTTAACTTGTCAGATGTTTTTCCTGTGACCAAAGTGCTGGTCTCTTTATCATGTGTTGGCTTACTGGGAGTCACTGTAGTGTGGCACACTAGGTAAAGATAGCTGGCTTTGCTTCTGAGCCCCCTAATGTGGATATTTGTACTATGGCATCATGAATTCAGATGTGACTGGGCAATCAGGCTACAATATTGAATCCAGCGTAATGATAGTGATGTCAGACCTTGGGCTCACAGTAAAACACGGGAACTTCCATAGGCTGTGAATGCAAATATAGATGTGTCACGGAGGTTTGTTCTATGAGCTCAGGCTTGTAACAGCACAGCTGGGGCAGCCAGCCCAACCCTGACTGAGAACAGTTCTGCAGTGGGATGGAGCCTGTGATCCCTGGTCAGGCACTGTGTCCCTTATTGAGAAGGATGGTAAGTGATTGCTGAGTGGGCAGTGAGGCCAAGCTCAGCAGTCCTGCTCACCAAATTAAGGCAGATTCTGAAGCAAAACGCCTTACGCCACAGAGACCCACTAAGATGTAAGTCCTTCCACTCATAAGGAAGTTGTCTCATCAGACTTTTCATGTATACAAAACTGTATAACAGAAGCAACTTAATCTAGTGGATGATAACACCTTAACCTGAGAGAGCTGCAACTAGCTTTGCTTTCAGCCCTCACCTGCTTTTTTGTGACTAATGAAATCACTGCTCCTCTGCGTCAGAGCTGTGTGAGACTGGCAATATCCAAATTCAAGCAAACACTGAAACGAACAGCTTTACTGTATCCTACCTTGAAAAGCACAAGAAGAGGAATTGTTACTGTTCTGCAGAGAACTTGTAACAAGTTCTTTAAAATAGGTTTTTCTAACACTTCTGCCTTACTTTGTTTATTCTAGGGTGAAAACGTCTTCTTTGTCATGACAAATTTGATTGTGACCCCAAACCAGAGACAAACCACGTGTCCTGAGGTAGGAAGAACTGAGTCCTTTGGCTCCCAGACCCCTACAAAACTGGGGGTAAGACCTGGCAGAGGACGCAGCAGCGAACACGGGAAGGATAGAAGGCGAACGCTTTTTCTCTGTAGTATGCATCGGTTAGGAAAATTGGACTGATTACTTAAAACCTGGAAGGTTCATCTCTCTTAATTTCCAGAGGCACTGATCATGTAGAGGCTTTAACTAGGTGTTGGCTTTAAAAAGGTGTTGGATGTCTGCCTAGCTGGAGATGAGACTTGAATAGTGATTGGTCAGGGTCAGAAAAGGCCATGGGAAAACAGCCTGGAGGTGATTCAGTTCGGTTATGAGCAAAGGAGACATTCTAAGAGGCCCCCTGTGGGAAGGGCTGAACATTCAGGCTTTCGCTACCTTCAGGATGTGTGAGAATGCTTAGTGCTTTCCAGAATGTGCCTTACATTTTTACATGATTATAAGTAAATATTTGTTTACATGTCCTCCATGGAGTCATGGTTCAGAATGGGCTGAAGCCTGGGGGACGAGGTTGCTGGCATTCCAAGGAGTGCTGGCAACATAGCAGTGATTAATTTTCCTTCACAGAAAGGTGGGGTAATCCAGGCTGTCAGCACAGGTTGATTGTGAAGGACACGGCTGTCCTCTAGTGGCTGCGTTAACCCAGCATGCAGCCAGGAGCAGGGTAATTTGAGGGCTCACCACAACTTGCAGCTTAAATCAAATATACAGTTATCTCTTAACGAGAAATGTGGTGGCCTTCTGCTTACTTTTGTTGAGTAGTGGAAGATGTTGCTTGCTTGGCTTCTTCCACAGCTTGTCCTTCTTTAGATTGAGCAGAGACCTAAAGCAAGACTTCATTGCTGAAGCATGTTGTTGCTGGTAATGTGACGTAGCCAAGTTATTTGCACACTGCCTACTGTTAGTGCTCCAGCTGCTTGTTTTCACTGATCACCATTCTGTAGAGGGTTCAGTGAAATGCATGTAGCTCTGCTGCTGTGTGTCGTGCCCTGCCACAGTTCTCACTCCTGTCCTCTTCTGCTTTGCAGAGTGTAAACATTCCTGATGCCTTGTGTTATGAGGATGAAGACTGCCCTGCAGGGCAAGCAGTGGTGGCCGGTAATGGTAAGGAAAGAGACCCTCCTCCTGTACACCTTCTGGTAGAGGCAGGTTCTTTCAGAGATCGGCTGGGTTACAACCCCGGAGAGCTTTGACTTCAGACAGCAATAATCATTTTCTTTTCTTTAAGACACTTCCTTGTTTACAGCTCTCTGATGGCTGGGCACAAAGCACCCCGGGCTGCTGAGAGCAGAAACAACAGAGGGGCTGTTCCAGCTAAGAGGGCTTTTCACAGCAGGGAGGAGGGCTTAGGGTGGCAGTGAAAAGCATCTGATTTTCATTTACCCTGCGGACAAGGAGAGGGAGCAGCTGCTTTGAGTGACCTTTTCTGTGCTGTCTGTGCTACAGGGGTTAAGACTGGCCGTTGTTTGAAAGACAGGGACAACATCAGAGGTTCTTGTGAGGTATTGGCCTGGTGCCCAGTGGAGAAAAGATCCAAGCCCAAGTACGTGGCTGTCCTATGCTGTTTCCAAGCTTGAGTTGCTTGGCTTGTGTGTCATTCAGGGTGGTGTCTGAGTTCCCACTGCTTGTTTGCTTGCTTGAGTATTGGCTGTTTCAGAGCAGGAGGGAGCCCCGCTTGGCCCCCAACAGGACTTGCCCTCTGCTCACCTGCTTGGCTCACTGGCATTCCCAGGGCTGTGTCCAGCTGCAGTGTCCCCCCTCGCCTGCATGCTCCTCACTAACATCTTGCTGGCAGTGTGGGGAGCTGGGTCCAGTCGTGGAGGTGTGGCTGCTGAAGCCCTATGCTCTGAGCAGCAGATTCACCCCTGGAAGCAGCACAGGATAGTACTGAGCTGTTTCTTAAATGGCACTTTCAGTTAAACGTGTGAGCAGAGTACAGATGTAAAACATGGAACAAACCCTTCTGTTCCAGGAAACCACTTCTCGCCAGTGCAGAAAACTTCACTGTTTTCATCAAGAACTCGATCCGGTTCCCCAAGTTTAAATTCTCCAAGTAAGTGCAGGTGCCCAGAGGTCCCTGTATCTTCTCCATCACAGAGCCAATAACTTTGTTTTGCTCCACTGTCCTTCTCCTCCCTGTGGCTGGGGTGGGGAAATGAGTGCTTCCTCTTCTAAAGCATAGAGGGAGGCCTTTGGCTTGGGCTGGAGCATCTCAGGGAACAACTCAGATAAGGCTGTCACCAAATGTGGTCTGTGATAGCTCCTGCAGCATGAGTTGAGTTGGGGGAGAGCTTCTAAGGCAGTGGGTATGTTCTACAGCCAGTGCGCAGTCAGGTTTCTGAGCTGCTTCTGCTCCCAGCTATTTCTCTTCTGTATAAATGAAGATGTGATCAAAGTTGGGAAAATACAAATTTGAAGCGTTGTTTGCATTTGCTGCTGCAGCTCTTGCTCCATTAAGACAGAAGTAAGGAGAGCAGAAAGAAGTGTGGCTTTGCTGTTCTGACAGGCTCAGACAGACTGAAGAGTGCTGAAGAAATCTTTCATCTCCACAGCCTTGTGGTTGTAGGCTGTGTAGGCAAGCAAAGAGGGAGACAAGATGCCTTCCCCTCTTCCCCACATGTAGGATGAATGTGCTGGCCACCAACAATGAGTCCTACCTAAAGACCTGCCGCTACAGCAAGGAGCATCCCTACTGCCCCATCTTCCTTCTGGGGAACATCGTCAGATGGGCTGGGAATGACTTTCAGGAAATGGCTTTGGAGGTAGGAGTACCCTTCGAGCTTGTGTTTCTGCTGGCTGTACTGCTTGCTGGGTGGCTGAGGAGAGCCACTGGTGACTGCCCAGGACTTCCCATCCGGGCTCAGGGAAAAATGGAGATGCTGTTTCTTAAAATCATGCTGGTTCCATTTATCCTGTCCCTGGGGAATGGGAGACAAGAAAATGTGTCTTTTCTGGAAGAATTGGAAGGGGTAGTTTTCTGTTATTTAGAGCTTGCCCCCTGAATTGTTACAGCTACTTAATGAAAACAGGGTGAGAAGCCTCTTCCAGACTAGGGTTGTGTGTTCAGTAATGTGCTTATTATTATAAAAATGAACTTAGCCCATCCAGAAGTGTTTGACCAGAAATGCATCTGTTCTTGTCCCTGGGGAAATCTTGCTCAAGGATTGGGCAAAGCTGAAACAGACTGATTGAACTAAGCTTGAACTCACATTGTCTCTCTCTTTCATTAAGGGTGGTGTGATAGGAATTCAGATTGAATGGAACTGTGATCTTGATAAAGCCCCTTCTGAATGTAATCCCCACTATTCTTTTAGCCGTCTGGATAACAAGTTTGCAGAAAAGTCTGTCTCTTCTGGGTACAACTTCAGGTAAGCAGAAAGGAGAAGCACGTCAGTTATGACTTCTGGCAGTCCCTTCTTAATTGGTGTTACCCACTGCTCATCTGCCTACAGCAGCAATACGTTTTCTTTCCATACTTCATGTGGCAATGAGAAAGGAATGTCCAAAGAAGTTGTAACTGCTACAATGATGGGTAGGCACTTCCCCATCTGAGTGGCTTTCTGTTGCCATCAGCTAAGAAACACCATCCTGAGAAGGGCCTGACTTGACTGCCACTCGGAGCCACACTTCACAGCTAAAGCTGTTTTTGATAGGAGGAATAGATCCATTGGCACAGAGGGGTGAACTCAGATGGGTTCTAGTGTGTGGGGGCAGATGATGGAGTTAAAATTGGTATTGTTCCATTTCAGGTTTGCTAAATATTACCGGGATGCTGAAGGGATTGAGTACCGGACACTCTTTAAAGCGTATGGAATCCGTTTTGATGTGATGGTGAATGGCAAGGTGAGATTTCAGGCCAGAATATTTGCTAGCCTGGAGAAGAAGCAGGGAGACATTTCTCAGTGAAAAAGCAGCTTTGGGATGAGAACAGCCTGTCTGGCTTGTTGTAGGAAAGAGGGCTTGTCATTCACCCTGCATAATAAGGGAGATGACCAGGAGTGCGGACGAGGTAAAGGTCAGCAGTCTGCACCTCTTATACCTAAAAACAGTCTCAGGTAAAGTCCAGCAAATGTAAAAATGCCCCACAGACTTGTTTAGCATGTCTGCACTAGCAAAGAAGCCTAATCCAGGGATGATGCAAGCTCAGAAACGCAGCCACGAACAGTTGGAGTTGAGACGAACAGATCTTTAACTCTGATGACTGTTCTCTGCAAATCCTTGTATGGTTATGCCTGCCTTTTGCTAACAGAACGCACCCATAAGCACCAGCAGCTTCCCAACAAAACACACCCACAAGCACCAGTAGCTTCCCTCTCTAATACCAAACCCTTACGTTTGTTTCTCGGATTGTTTTCAGTGAATACTTCATGATTTGTTTTTCTTTTAGGCAGGGAAATTTAACATCATTCCCACTGTGATCAATATCGGTTCAGGGCTAGCTCTCATGGGAGCGGTAAGTCGAGGTATTTTCTCAAAGTAACATATTGGGACCAAGAGCTGCTCTGAGGATAAAAAGGGGCAATTTGTTTAATTATCTTCTCCAGCAGGATTTTTACTACTTTGGCTGCTCAGTGAGGTGTGTGTCTGTGTCCTGTCCTGAAGGCATCTGTTAATGTACCTTGTAGTCTAAATATCCCTAATATTACATGGTACATGAAAGAAAATGCAGCTCCTACAAGTTATTTTTCAATTTTCATTACAAATTAAATCTGAACATTTCCTTTTCTACTTTAAAGATGAAACATGGTAGTGAAAAAAAGAACCCTGAACTGTGTTTGTTGATTACAGTGCTACCATGGTGAGGGCAAACACAGTTAAGTCTGATGTACTCAAGTACTACACCCTGATGACCCCCGAAATACTGCAGGCCCTGTTTTTCTCCATGCCTGCCTTCCAGTTCCAGTTATGCATTATCTCTGAGATAATCCAGCATTTAGTAGCTCACCTGTAAGCTCTGGCTGTGCGATGCCTATTTCAACATAAGCAATTGAAGAGAAGATTGAGGCAGGAATTAAAGCATTTGTATAACAGCAGATCTAAACTGTCCCTGCTTAAAAAGTGTTCCTCAAATGCAGTGCAAAGACCATAACATCTAAGCAGCTATGGAGAAAAAAATACCTGAAAGAGAACTTGGAGCAAGCAAGGATGAGTAACTGCAGGCTGAGCATGATAACCAGGAGGAGAGCTTGTCAAATGTACAGGCTGGAAGTATTTGGAGGCAGGGACAGTGGTGGCCATTGGCAGAGGGAGATTTTTCCTTGTTAGTGGCCATGACAAATTCTTTCTGTTTTGCAGGGAGCTTTCTTTTGTGACCTGGTGCTGCTCTATCTGATTAAAAAGAGTAACTTTTATCGAGGCAAAAAGTATGAGGAAGTAAAGTAAGTGCCCTTGGCTTTTGTGTTTAAACGTAATGGCTTTATGACTAATAGAAATAGGAGATAGTAGAATGCAATAAACATTAGTGGCAAACAGAGAGTAATTCCAGGAAATTACATTCCTCCAAATGAGTTTAGCCAAGTTACTCCCTCACTCCACAATTCATCACTGCAATTAGCTAGGGGAAAAGGGAAGTTGCAGAATCACGGTTGGTCTATAAATGGCCTTGCACTGTCGGTCCATAATGACTGCAGATGGAACTGGGCTGATTTCAGGGTCTCCAGAGCCTCATGAAACTGAGAACTAGAGCTTTAGTTGTGATGGCTTTTGTGGTAAGGGGGGACAGGCTGGCTGGGAGCATCCTCCTCACATTGTCTCCTGAAATGGAAATAGCCTGCTTGCTTTTTCTGTCATCTTTGCTTGTTTCCTCAGGTCCAGTTCCAGGAAGTCATTGAATAGCCCTACTCTGAATGGGAATCAGAGCCCAGACCAACTCGGTGGGCTCTAGACATGATGATGGGTCTGTCAACTGGAATCATGTTCCAGGAAAACTACACAGGTGTGAAATGACACTGGGACTGGGAGGTGGAGCTACCCCAGATCAGATCTACCGTCCATTATTGGGATTTCCAGAGGAAAAATGTCCTTTAAAGAACACCCTGTTTTCCCTGAGACGTTCTCTGATATCTTGAGCTTGCAACACCTGTGTTCATCACTATGGATTTATAAAAGGATTTTGTAAGAGGAAAAAGAAGGCACCAAATGAATGTTTTTATATCTATTGATAGATCTATCCGTGCCACCATTATTCTGTGGCTGTGCTTTGCTTCCAAGTGCAAAAGAGAAGTGTTGTGAAACACCACTGACATTTTCAGGAGGGTCGTGGCCGACAATAAACTTGTCTCCTGCTCCGCCAGCTTGCAGCCACAGCTCCCAACTCTCGCTTTTCTTATTTGCAAGATTAGATATAAAGCAGCAGGACTGCTCTTGTCAGGAAGTGCAACGAAATGCAGCATTGCAGAATTGTAGCAACTGTGTCCAGAAGAAAGTGGTTTATCATCCTGTACTGCCCAATTACTCTTATTGCCCTGTTTTTGTTGTAACCATCAGAGCTAGGAGCGGTGCTCCTCCAGGGAAAGCCTTTACAACTGCTGCAACAAGGTGCTCTGCTCATCTCTCCTGGGAACGTCCGCAGCAGTGCCTGCCACAGCTCTGAGTGGAGAACCAGCTACCTCATCTGCTACATAGATTCTCCATTTATAGTTATACCCAAATAGCCAGTATTTCAGAGGACAGAAAGGATGACAGCGCGCAGAGGAGTATTTTACGGACAGGGAGAGTATTAGTAATATTAGTAGTGCTGTGGAGATTGAAAAGTGAAACTTTGTCAGGTCAAACAGGCTTTGCTGGGTTCTTCCAAATGCAACAACAGAAGGAAAAAGTAGAAGACGGACGTCCACTGTTCTAACATTTCAGTATCTTCCAAGAACCACAGGTGCTTCGTTGTTTCTCAAGAGAAAACTAAGTCACTGCAACCCACTTTGTGAATTTATGCTCAAGTAGGGATGCAATTACTCTAAGAGGAGGAAAATGATTACAAAGTAATGTTATTTTCTTTTAAAGTTTGGATTTGCTTGAGCTGACAGGAACTGACTCAGTAAGGCGGTAGGTGAATATGCCTCTCTTGGAAATATTAGTGCTTTCACAAGGTTTAAAGGCCTCCTGCTGCAGTGTCCTTGCTAGGACAGTTGTAGGGAGGATGGCATTGCAGGTAGCTGCTGTCACCTGCTGTTATACGCAGATGGAATCAGAATGCAACACCTACCTCTGCTTCAATTTCTCAAAAGTGTTTGTTCTGAGCAATTTTTTTTTTGTTTTGTTTTTTTTGGTCTAAATGAAAACTCACCTTTGCTAGAAGTGGCAAACTTCCAATTCAGTCATTAATAGCAAACCCCACCCAGTCCAGTCTTCTCCCTCTGCTCCAGCTTCTGGGCAGATGTGAGTAAATATCAACTAGTCAAACATTTAGCTAGAAAATGGAATTAAACACTGGAGTGACAATAGTTTAGGATAAGCTACATACACCGGGTGCTGTATTTACAATGAAATCCTCCCCTTTGACCCAGAACTCTTGACAGATATGCAGCACCCTGCATATAATGGATAGATGACACCAGCCAGGCCTACTGGAACTACCATGCCAACAAAAAAACACAGAGCTTTTTCTATCAGGGCATAGTTCTATTTAAATAGTTTCTAGATGGTAAAACATGTAGTAAACCCCACACGTGACATCAGGCCAAGGCGCAACTCAGAGACCAGACAGTTCACCATAACATGTGAAGCTGACTGTGCCCAACTGAAGCCAATGCTTCAACTTGACAGAATTATGTCCTTCTTAGACAACCAAAGCTTTTTCCTGAATTTAAGTCTTCACAGGCTTCAGCATCCCCAAAACTCACTAGAATATTTCCCTTAGTTATAGCATTCATTTGCAGTTAATAAAACATAAACAGCTTTCCTCTCAGGATCTTGTTTGATATTTTTTTTTTTATTTGAAGTACAGCAATAAGGTTTGTCACTTTGGGGCAGTGCTCTGTTAAGACTGCTGTAAAATATATTATTTAGGTTGCACATGCCAGTATCCTTTGTGATACGTGCTTATGCAAAACAATTCAATTAAGAGTTTAGAGTGTATTTCAAAAGTACAAGTCTAAACATACTAATTAATGTGCAAAAAGCAGCAGATGGCATGAAAAAGCATACTAGTGAGGGAGTTAAAGCCTTGACTGTTTTTTCTTCCCCCAAAAAGAAACACGACTTAGGCAATGCTGACAAACCCCATTTTTGTACAACCCTGTCTTTTGTGAGCCAGAACTCAGTTTTTCTGTAAAATATTTTTGAACACAGAACCTAATGCTGTAAAATCTTTGTATAACAAACAGGTAATATTTTATAGTGTTCTGGTGAAGTGATGACCGACCCAAAGACCAGACAGCCAGGTGGCACAAGGTGTGGTTGTAGAACATGTGACAAAACCCCGTCACTGCACAAGAGTTTGCTTGCTGCTTTCAGCTGAAAGGCATTAAACAGCATTTGCACAAGCAGCTCCAGAGCAAAGAGACTTCACTGCTTTAGGGGGCAATCAAAAGTTCCTTTCAGATTCTGTCAGACACAGTACCACAATAACTGTAACAGCTGCAGAAAATGCCAGTGGCTGTAACAAGTGGGTTCAGTACAGACTGAGTTGCAGGTAATTAGACACTGAGTGTATTTGGGTGCCTGTATTTCATTGGACACAATGGTATTAAAACAGAGTGATTGACTTGGAAGAGCATTACTTATTGACTTTTGTACATGCAGTGAGGAGTATCTGTGACAATGTCATTTATTTATAGTGTGAACATACAGCAACTGTGGAAGTTAACATTTGCACTAGCATTTCAAATACATTTCTGTACCAAACCTTTGCGTACATTTAATTACATGCTACTGTGAAATACTTCCTCGTGTCAGTGGCTTATTTTTATAGTGCTCTGTTTGCATGTAGGGGCAGGCAGCCACAGGCAGTAATTGGTATTTCTTACCCACAGTGCACAGGATGCAAGGAACTAAGGTAGTCAAAACCTGCAGCTGTGACTGCAGTTAAGGACAATAAGTCAATCCTCTGCCACCAAACAAACGTTCATGGGAGGCATCCGTGTGGTTTCACATTCAGTTTAATTATAACAATACTACTGATTCATTTGTACTTGGACATAATTTACTGACAGTATGAAGGATACAAGCAACAAACAAGTTTAAAAGGTAAGCTGGCCTAGTTGTGTGGGTGATGTTTGGCAACAGTCCTCCTGCTTCATTAAAAACCACCGTGGCTACCACAGCTGTTGTTTCAGTAGACGTGAACCATGCCGTACAGGAAAGTCCAGAACAGGACGTAGGTGAAGAGCCCTCCTATGAGCCCCCCCGTGAAAAGCGGCCTTCGGGATTTAAAGTACTTATTCCATCGCCGCCCGGCTTTCAGCACCAGGAGCACGGAGAGGAGGACGGATGCCAGAAAGTAGAAGATGAAGCCGTGCAGGCCCGTCAGCCCGAGGATCCCCGCCGTGGCTCCCGACAGGGCCGACACCGACGTCCGGCAGTAGTCCAGGATGGCCGCGTTCCCGCGCACGGCCGCCTCGCTGATGAACTGCGGCCCCTCGCGCTTGGCCACCACCGCGGCCATGGCTCCCAGCCGGGCTCCGGGATCTCCTGGCTCCCAACTGGGCTGGGGGAGAGCAGACGCGCGCTGTGCCCGGCCCGCCGCCTCCCCGGGGCCTGCTGAAGCGGCGCCTCCCGCGGGTCCCCCCGGCACCGCCCGCCCCGGCCCGTACCTCTCATCCACAGCCGCACACTGCTCCGCAGAGCCCTCAGCCGGACCCGACCGTTACGCTTCGCGCCCTGCCAGGGGACAGCACACGGCACCCGTCACCGCAGGCCGGCCCCGCCCGCACGGCTGGGATAGCCGTGGTCGCCTGCGGGCCCAACTTACCCCCGCGGCGGCACCGCGCACCTCCCCACCGGAAGCTACTGTCAGCCATCTTGGCGCGGGGGGCGCCGGGAAAGCGAGCTCACTTCCGGCGGGAGCTGCGAGGCGGAGGGCGAGGCGGCGCCTGACTGGCTGAGGGCAGCAGGGGGCGGGGTCGGCGGAGGCGCTTTTGTTCGGGCGGCGGCGGCGGCGGCAGCTGGGTGTGTGGGGCCATGTCGTACGTGCCGGGACAGCCTGTCACTGCCGTGGTGGTGAGGCGAGGCCGGCCGGGATCGGGTGGGCGGGCGGCGGGATTCGGTGCGGGTGGAGGGAGCGGGTCAGTGCTGGACCATCCCGGGCGTAGGAGTGGGAGGAGGGTGCGGTCGCTGGCTCCGTACCGCTGTTCGCTCGCTGGAGCTGAGCCGCATCGCTCCTTCTCTCGGTGCGAGATCTGGACAGAGGAGAGCTCCGAGCGGCTTCGTCCCGCCCGGTTGTGCTGCTGAGGAAGGGGAAATTCAGCTGTCGTGATCCGGTGCTGGAGGAGCCGCTCCTCTGAGCGCGGTGTAACACTTCGCGATGCCGTTTCTTTGTTCCGTAGCCGCAGGACGCGCTTTTACAGGCTATGAGCGGCCTTAATTAGAGCGGTCCGAGGGAAGCCTTTGCGCGTCTGCCCGTAGGTAGAGCAGCGGGGCCGTGCAGCGCTGCCCGCGTGGCTCTGGGCACGCCCTGCCCTTCAGCTGCGAGTTCCAAAGCAGCTTTGATTGTCGCTGTCTCAGCTGGGGCTGCGCCTTTCCCTGTCAGCTGGGAATCGCAGCTGGCTGCTGCGCGATATTCGTGGGCAGTGTTTGTCAGTTGCCTGTATTCAACAGGCAGCGAGGAGCCCACCTCTGCGTTACAGAGATGCTGATAACGTTCGTAAGGGAAAACATCCTATTAATAGGTCGGCACTGTGACTGGCAGGGTGAGGAGGAATGCCAGGAGCTGATAAAAACCAGCACTGGTGAGATGTGAGTGATGACCAGTCAGCGAGATGTGACTCATGTTTAGAAAACTACTTTCCCCTTGTTTCTCAGGGTGGTGGTGAAGGACTGACTTGGAGCACAGCTGTATAAAGGTGTGAGTGCCCTCCTACCTGCAGGTGGTTTCCTGTTCTGCTGTCATAGGGTAGGGCTGAGAATGGCTTAGAGCCAATTGACACTTCAAGACTGCACGTGACCAAAAGATAGCAAATGCTGTGTGATAGTTCTGTGTTGCCAGCAGTTTTTAGATCTGTTAATCATCCATCAAACCTGCAAGTATTGTGACTCCTGCTGAAGCTGTGGTACAGCCTTCTCTCCTAGAGTTACCTGAGCTTTATGGTACCTGTGGCAGACACAGAACAGTCTGAAGAGGTCTTGAGATTTGTCAGTAATCACAATGCAGTTATTTTGTCATCTTCTCTTTTTAGCAAAGAATTGAAATACATAAGCTTCGCCAAGGTGACAACTTGATCCTGGGATTCAGCATCGGAGGTGGCATTGATCAGGACCCTACTCAAAATCCTTTCTCTGAAGATAAGACTGACAAGGTTAGAGCATGTTAAATTCAGCCAGCAAGCACTCCTGGAGTGCATCTGGTTTCTGTCCTCTCACACTGTTGGCTGAAGTTATTTTGTTGGTATCTTTTGCAGACTGAGCCCGTGTTTAAGTTAGCTCTCCTCAACTTTTCTGTTCTTCAACACTGGACAAACCTGTTTTTATCTAGAATGCTGTAATATACTACCATGTGTTTTTGCACTGTTAGGTAGAATGGCTTTTCTGTAAAGTCTACTCACAGTAAGTGAATGTTTTTTTTTCTCCCCAGGGTATTTATGTAACAAGGGTGACAGAAGGAGGCCCAGCAGAAATTGCAGGACTACAGATTGGGGACAAGATCATGCAGGTAAGCACAAAGACAAGTGCTAATCCAGTACCACGTGCACTCTACAGGCAGATTTCTTTCTTCTAGGCACTTTCCAGCGCAGTTTGTAAGGCTTACAAAAACAGTTGTGCTCTGAGAACTAAGTACTAGATATACTTACAGAGCAGTTAATTATAGGACACTTATGAGTCCACAGCTTGTTTCCATAGACTGAATTTTGAGAAGAGCTGCTAGGTGTAGGTCATCCACAGGCAGCCAACAGCCTCTTTGCATAATGAAGCCTCACGTTGCTTTCCTAGGTGAATGGCTGGGATATGACAATGGTGACCCACGACCAAGCTAGGAAGAGGCTGACAAAAAGAAATGAAGAAGTGGTCCGGCTGCTGGTGACCAGACAATCTCTGCAGAAGGCTGTGCAGCAATCCATGATGTCCTAATCGGTGATCAAGCTGGGGAAGGGTTAGGGAGGGAGATGCACAGACTGGATATCAAGTGAGGAAGGATTGTCTGGAAAAAGTACATGTTCCAAACTGTGGTAAACACTATTTTTACTTTCTCTGGTGTAATTAACAGTAGTTAAAGTTTAGTCCCCTCAGAGTGCTTCTATAAAGCTTTCCCTGCAGGTACACGGGAAGAAAACCTTATTATAATCATGGCTTTCAGGAAGACAGGCCAACTCCTAACTATCTAAGGAAGCGCTCAGAAAAGCTTCAGTTCTAACAGGATTCTTCTGTAGCACAAATGTTTCCTATTCAAGAAGAATTTGGCTTCTGCCAAGTAAGATAAGAGGGGTTGCTGTACTTAAGCTTTTAGAAGTGAGCTGTCCTGTCCTCCCATGTTATCTAATTAAAATGCCTGGACTAAGAGTTGCACGCTGCTGTAGAAAGGAGCACTGTACTCATCTCACATTGTGTGCTGGTTAGACAGAGTATGCTGAAGGTTTGGGGGCATTATGGCTTACTGCAAAGACTTGCTGTACAGAGCAGCCTTTTCAGCCAAACAACTGAGTATGTTATTAATACCTGTTAGATTTAGCACACTTAGCAGGTATTAAAAGTTTTGAGACACTACAGTTCAACTTTGGTATTGAAGAAAACTTAATTCTCCTTGTTCCTAAGTAA